GAATATTACATGTTGCAAGTCTTCGTGTTTTTTTTTCTGAGACTGGATCTATTGCTACTGACTCTGCCAGTCACTAAGTACCCTCAAGCAGCTTTCGACAGCATTTTACCTGTTTGAACCTCCAAGCTATTTATTTCAAAATAAAGATCAAAGGTAATCGTTTCAACAGTTGTGGCGTATGAAAAAAAAAGTATCACTACTAAAGAGGTCGCAGGCTAAATACGATGTGCCGAGTAACTAATTGCAACCTAATGGCTCTTCATTTGTTTATTTACTTCAAATAATGGTCATGCATTCCCGATATACATTGGTTTTGTTTATTCACATATCGGCCTCTTCACTCTTGAATGCCATAAACAAACTTCATCTATTGTTGACCCACACGTACAGTATGGTCCACTGTTAAAAAGAACACACTAATGCACACCATCAATGTTCCTGGCCCTCTCAGAGAAAGTGGATTAAGAAAAAAAACCTTCACGCAAGTCAATAGTCTGTCAAGAGAAGTCAGAGCTTTTAACCACCAGTAGCCTTGTGCATATCTAAGCCGCTACGATTCCCTAAGATAGCGAAATCTAAACATGCTGCTCACGCAGGTGTTCCCTTTAACGGTGTACCGGTCTGTACATTCCTGATTTAAATTCGATTCCCTGTCCCCTTCCCCTGGTTCACTCAAGTGTCTTGGTAACTTCTCGTTATTGAACTTCAATGCACGTTCATTCACTTGAAGGTCATTATGACATCACTTTCATGTTTACTGCTTATCATTTGGCGTCCTTACGTCAATACTTCACGTGAGGAATGGTATCGCAGGTGCTGTTGGATGCTGGAAGTTACACTCGATGAACCGTATAATGCGGTCGCCTTACTTTAACTCAGCCGTGTAACCTTCAGCCAGGGGCGCCCCCCTCTCCCCGGCATAGGTTAGCGAACTCACTCATGAGTCGAGTGACTCGCACTCATTCATACTAAGTTAGAGTCGTTAGTGTGATTTTGAGTGAGTCCGGGTAAGTGGCATTTTGGTAAGCTTGAGTCCAAGTGAGTCCTGCGGAATCAAATCGTCGTGACTGAGAGTCCAAGTAGGTTCGGCTCGAGATAATTATGGTGAGTCAAAATCCGAGTGGGTCCACGAAGAAAAATGCAGTTCTTCAGTGAGTCTGAGTGAGTTGTATTTTTAGGGGTGAAGCTCATCGTGGGTCGTGCGTCTCCGATGTATGTAGTAGTAGTTGTAGTAGTAGTAGTAGTTGTAGTAGTCGTCGTCCTTCTCGTCGCAGTAGTGTACTAGTAGATAGCCACCTCTCAATTATTCCTAGGAATTTTCGCTATATGGCGGTACTTCTATATGATGAATATATGAAGAGAAGATGTGAGATGGTGGTACTTGAAGTGTTTACTAGGTGGACGGACGAAGGGACAGACAAGCAGACGGACGGACGCACAGACGTATGGATGGACGTATGAACGGACGCCCGAATGGATGAACGCATGGGTGAACGCGCGGACGAAGGCATGGATGGTCGCACGTATGGATGGAAGCATGAACAAACGGACGGACAGAAGCGCGGACGGACTGACGGATGCTTTGCCGCACTGATGATAAGTCAGTCCGTGGATATGCTGTGATTTTTTGCCGACCCATACCCCCCTGACCACCCAAGATCGACGATAGCCACAATAACCCTATTTTCTGCCGCCTTGCCCCCGAGAGAATCTCTTGTCCGCGTGAGTGCCGAACTTGCACAAAATTCCTGCTTCTCAACCTGCCTATACTTTGCCGCAACCTATCTTCTCCGGTACTGCCAGCACGTTATTCTCACCTCTGAAATAGCGATGCTAGCGAGATTTAAGGTGCCTCTTCTATCAGCCGCTAATGAGAAAGAAATAAAGGCTTTTAGAGGCGTGTCTCATTTATGACTGCTGGAGGCAATGAGCGCCAGACCCCCGAACTGTTCAACTCTCGCTCTCTCACGAACTTACCAGGGCCCTCCGTAACAGGCGGCCTTCCACCCAACTACCTAACAATAATTCAGAGCCCTTTTAGAAGTGTGAGCATAGAAGCCTGCGAAGCTGCGACTGTGAAGGGTTTCTTATGGTGAATACTTCGCTATGGCAATATTTATATGTTGTCATGATCGGCTATATTAGGTTAGAACAGAGACATAAACTCAAATACCTCGATGTTTATCACGCTCATGACACACATTTTCTCAACGGTGGCGTATGAGGTATCAAAATGAAACCCGGTAGTAGATAAAAATGCCTATTGTTCCCAGAGTTAAAAAAGACATAGCTGATCCCTCCATCGCAGGAATCGGTAGACACAAAAGCAAAAGGTATCCTTGGCGAAGTAGTTTAGTGATTACGGTACAATTGATACAAGAGAGCTTATACAATGTCTGTTGGTGTTCCACTGCTAAAGCACCGTTTTTTATAAATACATCAACGTTGACGCTTGGTGATACATCTCCAATCAGATGACTAACATTCTTGAATAATGATTGATTAATGATTAAACACACCCTTCCGGTCATAAATGTCTGTTGTGGCTGCAGTAGTCAACGGTTATAGTGGAAACAAAGAAAGTGGTGTGACAGCTAGTAGAGTATGACTAAGTTTACGCCAAACTTGGGCTAAGCTCTCATCCTCGCGACATGTTTTAGTTATCGCAGGCCACTGCTCGGTTAGAGGGAAACGCAACGCGCGTTTCTTCGGTCTTCTCTTTGACCAGCCACGATTATTCGCGTGGCGATCTTAAGCGGATAAGCCGAGTTTCATCCAGGCGAAGCAGGCGCGTTGCGCTATGCGTTGCAGAACTACATTTGGTATAGATGCTTCGCCGAAGGTCAGCACATAGTAGTGTGTTGTAGCTCACCCAGAGGTCGTGGGTTGAACTCCCGTTAAGGAAACGTTTTCTTTTTTTTTTTTTGCTCTGATCACGTTATTTTTGACGTCATTTTTGTGACGGAAGCACGTCACTGAAACCTTGGTGTACCTCGTCAAAAACATTTCTGGGTTAAAAAAGGCACGCTGCTCATTTATTGTGCAAATGATCCCGTCTTTCAAGCGAAATCGCAACCGCCATTCAGTCATCTCCAAAAAATCACACGTTGTTATGCTTAATATTGCACCACGCGCTAGCGTTTCGACACCGAAACGCTAGATCAGTCAGTTGGAGTGCTTTATCGCAAATTGTTTGTCGACACGTTTTTTTTTTTTTTCCCAGCGGACGCGATCCATCGGCAATCAGTCATTATGGCTTCGCTGTAAAATTGCAAGAGAATGCTAGTTTTGCTGGAAAGAATTTGTTTCTATTGCATGGACAAAAAAGAATATGGTGGTTTTAATTGTAAGTCGGTTACCCTCCTATGACATGGTTGTTGCATTTAAGGCACAAAACAAGTTCATGTAGAGAGAGAGAGAGAGAGAGAATTATTTTAATGGGAAGCTGGAGAGGTATGCCTGGTTTTTCCCCTGATAGGCTGCTCCAGTTGCCAGGTGATGTCAGTGATATATACAATGATAAACACACAACACTTACAGTTACATACACGCATAACAGTCACATAACACATAAAGTCACTCACATGCACTGCACTATTTACAACGTTTCGTTCAAGCCTGTGGCCCGTAAGAATGTCAGTAGTGCTTTTTTTTTCGTAATAACTCAAAGGTCCCACATGGGACATTACATGAGGAGTGGGTGAACGAAAAAACTGGCGGGTCAGGTTAGGTTTCATTACTTGAAGTATGGTCTTCAATGGCAGCTTTGAATTGAGCAATGTCGGTGATGAGGGCGATATCGGATGGAAGGGCATTCCATTCTCCGGCAGCATGCGGGAAAAATGAACGTTGGTAGGTGGCCGTATGTGCACGTGGTAGGCACACAGCATTTTCGTGCGAGTGGCGAGAAGAACAATGTGCAGGAATGATGATTTGATGTGCAGGAAAAAAAACCCTAAAGGTGATGTGCAGGAAAAAACCTAAAGAATAACATTAGACGAGCAGTTTTGCGGCGAGAAGAAAGTGAGGGAGGCAGAGCTGGGATTTTAGGGCGGATACACTTGACCTGCAAGAATAATCGGAAAGAATGAACCTGGCAGCGCGGTTCTGGACTGATTCGAGGGCATTGTTTATAATAACTTGGTGATTGTCATAAACAGCAGAGGCATATTCTAGTTTGGATCGAATCAACGTTTTATATGCAAGTAGTTTGACTGCAGGGAATGCTGGTGATAGGTTACGGCGTAGATAACTTAATAGGCAATTGCAGGAATTAGTTGGAGAATATGATGGGCCCAGGACAGATCACTAGATATATGTACTTCTAGGTATTTGAATGTCTTGAATTGGGTTAATGTGTTGTTGTTGAGAGAGTAAGAAGGAGCTACATAATTACGGCGCCGATGAAAGGACACGTGGGAGCACTTAGTGATGTTGAGGGACATGTACCATTGGTTGCACCACGCCTGCATTTTAAAGAGGTCATCCTGGAGAGAGGAAGAGTCTATGGAATTTGTTATTGGACGATACAGAACACAGTCATCTGCAAAAAGCTCGTAGAGTCTAAAAAGCTTGTAGAGTCTAACTCACAGGAGGTTTTCTGCTATGGGCCTAGAATATTTTTAACTCCAAAATTGCTTCCTGTTGCATTTTGAGCCCAACTTCAGAGACTGTCTCTCTGATGCGTGTTTCGTACACTCACAGAGGACATGATTGATGTCTTCAACAACGTTACATTGGGCACAAATTGCTGAGTCGGATAGTCAAATTTTGTTCCTGAAGAAGTTTGTATATGCTACATTTATTTCGATGCGGTGCAAACACGTTTAATCTTGCCTGTTGAGATTTCGCGGCATCCTGAAGCCACACGATGGATCAATCTTGTACAAAGGCCTGTACTGTTGGCTAGGGTCTGTCCAGAGGGATCGATGGAGGCACCAGGCATGTGCCGACACTAGCGTTGCTGCGTCTTGCCCCGAGAAAGGTATCTCGACGACTTCTCATAAAGTGTCATGTCCAGCTTTGGCAGTGTCATCAGACCGGACGTTGTCTTGTATTCCGCAGTGGGCAGGGATCCACTGCAGAACAATGCGATGATGGAGGTCACAGGCTTTCTTGCATAGGCGTTTGATGTCCATGACGAGTTGGTCCTGTGTGCATGGAGATCTCAACGACTGTAGCGCTGCTCTTGAGTCAGTGAAGATGACCCAGGACTCGTCTGTCGGGTCAATGATGTATTTAATGGCAGCCCGCAGTGCAGCCTGTTCAGTGGCTGTAGATGAGGTGCCGTGACTAAGAGTGGCAGAGATGGTGATATTGGCAGATGGAATCCAGACGCCTATGGCAGATGATGTAGACGTAACAGAGCCGTCAGTGTAAGTACGACGGTGAGCTCTGTAGCAGTTTTCCAAATGCTCTAGCGTGAAGGGTCTGAGTACTGGTTCGGGTGTGCGTCTTTTGCTCTTGAACCCAGGCACAAAAGTCACTATGGTCCACGAAGGAGATTTCCCCGATGGTTCTGTATGCATTGATGCTCTCTGACAGTGTAGCGGGAGGAGGCTCAGCACAGGGCTACTGTATGAAGCAAGAGGATGATCCGGGGTTCTAGTGGCATAACGCAACTGGACTCAAAGAAACTCCTGCTGCAGAAGAATAGGAGCTGAGAGGTGCCTACTTTCAGCAAGAGCTCCAATGCTCGATGTGTTCTTTAGTTGGCCAAGGCACACCCTCAGGGCTTGTGCCTTGACTCCAGTCAGTGCCTGTATGTTCGTTCGAGAAATTCCATGCAGAGCAGGGATGCTGTAACGTAGAAGACCTTCGCAGAGAGTGGTATACATTTGTAACATAGCATTAATGGTACATACACCGGCATTGACTGTTAGTAAGCGAAAGATGCTCGCGTATGACGCAACTTTTAGCTTCAATATCCGAACGTGGGGAGTCCACGTCATTAGCTGGTCGATTGTCGCTCCCAAAAACTCATGATTTATCACGGACTGAATGTGAGAATGAGCTACATTTATTATGTAGCGTTAGACATCACGCCTCGTGAAAGCAATGGCGAAACACTTTTCTGGTAACATCATTAGACCTCGTTCGAGCAAGAATTTTTCGATGTAGTTGAGAAATTTCTGCAATCTTGCTTGTAGAACGTGTCTGCTGCGACCGCTGCTCCATATACAAATATCATATGCGTAAAGTGAGATTTCTGCTGATGCTAGGATGCACTTCTCTTATCCGATGAGAGAGATGTTGAATAACGTCGGACTGAGGACACCGCCCTTGGGAACTCCTTGATGCACTGTGTGTGGAGTTGTGTCACCTTCTTTTGTTGACATGTAGACTGCCGTGCCGTTGAGGTAGTACAAGATCCAGCGACATATACGACCTCCTACACCTAATGACCTCAGGGCGTGTAGGATAGACTCATGAGTCACGTTATAAAACGCTCCTTTGATTGATAGTGATGTTGCCGGTTTTTTGTTCAACTTTACGCAGTTGATGTGATCGATTACATTGTCAATGCTGCAGCGTTCTTTTCTAAATCCAGACATTTGTTGGGGGTATGCGTTCTTGTTCATAAGCAACCACTCCAGGCGTATCGACGCAATCTTCTCCATGAGCTTTGCTACGCAGCTGAGAAGAGCGATGGGGCAATAAAAGTTGAGTTCCGGGGGGGGGGGGGGGGGGGGGGGGCTTGCTTGGCTTTAGAATAGGAATAACACCGGCTTGTTTCCAGGAAGGCTCAAGACAGCCACTCTCCCAGCTGACATTGAATATGGCAAGTAGACGCATTTTCGCTTTGTCGCCTAAATGGGTTAACTCAGCGTGGCTGACGCAATCAGGTCCAGGAGATGACGTCTTGTTCATCAGTGCCAAAGCACCAAGAAGTTCCAAGATAGTAAAAGGTTCATCTACCTCAATGGTGCTTGGCGGCGTTGAAACTTGTCGTGATGCACGAGGTAACGTTGCTAGAGCCACTGCCGTGATCTTATAGCAGAAAGCCTCCGCCATGTCCAACTCGCTGCTGTTACGAGACAAATAAATTGAGCTGAATGAATGCAGTTGGGTCGGTGGGGTTTTCAAGCTACGAACAATACTCTATATTCTTAACAGCAGCTTCATTGGGTCTAGTTTTGAACAGAAGAGCCGCCATTGGCCCCTATCTAGCTTGTTCGTGTGGCGTTTAATTCGCTTTTGTATTCGTCTGGCCTCACGAATGTCATCTGCAGACAATGTCTTACGAGCACGTCTTTCAGATCAGCGACGAATAGCCCACAGCCTCTCATACTCCACGTCAACCATTGAGTGAGTTTGAGGTGGTTCTAGATGCTTGGTGCTGCTTTGGTTTGCTCGATTCAAAGCAGCTACGATTTCCTTATACGTCATTTCAGATGGCTCTGCGTCTTCGACTGCAAATGTTATATGATTTCCAGTTAGTGGACCGAATCCTCCTTCCCTTTGTGTTTAGCGTAGGTTAGCCCTTTGAGATATAGGTGGGCACGTGGTCACTCCCATGACTTTCGATATCAGCAAACCAGGTAGCCGTAGACATGAGGCAAGTGGAGATCATGGTGACATCCACGGCACTGCATCGGTAGTTCCTAAAAAAGGTTGGCTGCCCATCATTAATAATCACCAGGTTGTTTCGATGAGCGATGCCGAAAAGGCGTCTACAGCACACTGAAGTCCTCCTGCCGCCCAAGGCTAGGTGATGTGCATTGAAGTCCCCGGTTAGTATGTGAGGTCCAGGTGTGACATCTAATATTTTCTGAAGTCTGTCCTCATAATATGTGGTTCGATGTGGTATGATTCCACAATAACTGTAAATACCAAAGTGTCCATCTTCACTGTCACTGCAGCATATTCATTGGATGCGTCTGCTAATATGTGGTGAACATTGAAAGTTAAATCGTTGCGAACAGCTAAAAAACCTCTACTGACATCCGTTCCTGTCGATGAGACAGTGATGGTGTATACTGAAAGACGTATGCCGGTGCGCACTCGGGACTCTGAGATAGCGATCACCGAAAAGCGGTGCTTGTATACAAATTGTCTGAAGTCAGAAAGGCGACAGCGGAGACTGCAGGCATTCCATTGAAATATGGTTGCCTTTTCTCTAATGTTTTTAGACTGGCAGGCTGGGCTGTTAACGCCATTGTGCCAGAACAGGAGACCAAAAATCAAGCATTGTCAATATAGACTTAGCTACCGGGGAAGACATCGGAGTGAGGAAGTTGTGTACAGCGCTGACAAGTGCAGATAGCAATGAGTATATGTTTCCATTGTCTTATCGATCGTTGTACTCGCGTAGTCCACTCCAAGAAGTTGGGGCCCGTGACTCGTTGGACTGGCCAGACGTACGCTTCTGAGCACTTCATGTGGAAGAAGCTGTATCTGATTGACGTGTCCGTAGAGAGGGGAACTCAGTTTTGTCGTCGACCCATGGCGGATTTGCTGATGTTCGTTTGTCTACTATGGATAATATTGCTTGGCCACCACTTCGAGGTTTCTGTTGATGGCGTACCGCATCCTTTGCCATTTGGTACCCAATGTGGTTTGAGAGCCCTTGTCTAGTTTGTCCTTGTCCTTGTCTAGTTTGTGAGTTGTGTGCATGTGGTACCCAATGTACTGTGAGCCCTGACATGCCACGTATGTGACTCTGTTTAAAGAGTCTCATTAACTCTCTTTAAAGACCATTGTGTCCTTTTTGGAAAGTCGTAGTACCCAAAATAAAGTGAGAACATCTCTTGTATGAGATTCACTTCTGTATTGTTTGAACCGGCATGCGGCGGAAAAGTTGAGTTTGTATGACCTCGGTTACTTCATTTCTATACCATCCGCAGTAATAATGTCAGAATTTTTGGACGTAATACCCAAGATATTATTATTGTAAGCTCTGTAGCGATAAGAATTAGTAAACAATTTTTAGAAAATTAACAACTAAGGAAAAAACGTGTTCATAACCCTGACAGGACTGAACTTTTAACATCGTATTTTGTTTCCTTGCAGGAATTCAGACAGGCACATTTCTAGTTTTGCCAGAAGTATAAGAACACATCGTTCCAACAACACATGGCTGTTCACCACAAGCGCTTTATAACCCACTATTCATAGGAAGCCGTTCGGGAAAGTTGTTCTCTTTTTGCTCATATGCGTATCAAAGCAGGATTCGCCATAAAGAGCGACACACACTATCTCTCTCTCTGTTTTAGTGTGGATATGTTGAACTTACGGCCTTTAGGTTGTGCCAGTAAGTTTTTGCCAAGCTGCAGACACCGTCAACGTTTCCTGTTTTCATGGAGTGTGTCCTTGTTTCTTAAGTATGCATGTAGGGCCTTCAATAAATGTCTTCCTTCTAACAATAGCTCGACAAGTGATTAAGTTGCCAAAGTTCTGCCAGCACAAAACCCGTCTGGGTATTTCCCCAAGGAACTTTCCTAGCGAAGTTATAATCAAAAAAGACCCTGACGAAACTACTGCAGAGCAATCAGGCTGCCAGCAATTGCAACTGCTGGACTCAGAGATTAGAACGACGCACGTTGCGGCATTCTGGGGCAGGGAATCGGTGCTCCACCTAAGCATCCAGCCATGCACCGATGGTAGGAACATTATGACATTAAACAAACCAGGGATTAATTTATTCCGATTCCTGAAACAATAGTGACTGAAATTTTGAAACTCAAAACTTTACAAGTCTGCGCTATCGGCCGAATCTGTGCTCTGCGAATTTCGGAAGGAACGCCTTCATCAATAACCTTACAGTTACTTGAAATTACGTCTGATAGTTCAGCTGTACTCAGCTTTAGGAGATCATATTGCGAAAAAAAAATCATCACATCAAGGGTTTTGCTTTAACTCAGTCAAAAATGTGGCCAGTGAAATAAGGGAGCACGAAACTAATTGATTTGCAGAAATAATGTGCTGTAGGATTTTCAATGTATGCGTAATCATTGCGATGCTTGCCCACTTGCGTCGCCTACCACTAACTATTCCTTCGCTGCTGCCTGACCACCGTTTGATCATTGAATAATTCTGACCGTGGTTACAAGCCCAATGAGTTTCGAAGAATCTCGGGTACAGTTTATGCATGCGATGGTTGTCGAGCGTAATACCCTAGAGGCCCGAAAGTTTTAATGTTACACTCCCTATATTCTTCGAAAGCCGACGGTTAAATAACCTACGTACTTCGAATGTTTCTGGCTCAAATCACCGTACACCTGAGAGTTCAAGTTGATTGGGCGACTCGCTTTTCACAATATACCACTATAGTTCGTCCACGTATCCTTAGTGGAGCCCCATGTCTACCATTTGCGAAAGACGTGATATCGCAATAGGAACATATTTGCTAAGATAGGTCACCTAGGCAGTCTATAATATGGTAGCCTTTCAGTCACTAAAACCCCAGTGTAGCTTTTACGTTTGAAAAAAAAAGAAACAATCGCGGCCGAATTCTCAAGAGACGTAAATCGAACACTCGTACGACTGTTCACAAATCTTAACAGTTATGCCTGAGAGCCCATTCTAT